ATTTCTGCCTTCTTCCCCAAATCTAAAATGCTGACAGAAATCAGCTTTCCGATGATAGGAGGGGTTATCCATGAATCCTACTTTTCTCAGACTTCTTCGCTTGCAGAATTATTTGCGGCAGATCGGACAACCTCTTACCTTCGTTAAAAAATTACTATGCTAATATGTCTGTAACACAATGATGCTACTTTCTAGCACAAAACATCTTTTTCAAGTCACAACAGTAGCACATATGAGTTGGAATTGATGACATTGGAAAATAAAATTCATTAAACATAATGTTTGCAAATTATTGTAAAGACAGCAAATCTCATTGCCGAGGTCACAGCATGCTGCTTTTTTAAAGTTTTCTCCAGTCTACCCCACTACAATATCAGGTAAGTGGTACAAGCTTGAGAAAAGTAGTCCAGTTGATCTGATGAAATTGAAGAGATATGTTCATCCATACTTGTTCAATGCCACCCTCTATGTTCGATCAGATTTCAACAAAAGCTGAAACTTCACTTTGCGAATACTCTAAAATTCGCTCATTCTGAGGGTATGTGATTAGGTAAATGTGCCTAAATTTCGATTAACAGAATCTATTTATCGCTTATATCTGTTAATGCGGTAATCGGTAATTATTGATACTAGGTCCTTTTTATGTTGCATAGTGGATTTTAATTTATCTTTTAAGTCAAGTATACAGGAGCGAACTTTCCAAGTCAAAAGCAAAAATAAACGGAGCAGTTTATTATAAGTGCTGCAGCGTTTGATGGAAATACAGTGGCAGACAGTCTTGATAAGAAAAGACTGAAAAGTTTATTTTTCGCGTCAAACAACTCTGAAATAGGTAATGCTATATGAAAAATTTTGTGGTGCTAGTGGCACTATAGATAACTTCGAGGTAAGTGTCTAAGTCAAAATTCAGTAACACTTTCACATATGAACGTGGAAAATTGATGATCATCCATACCAAGTAGGAACAAATGTCGTGCGACCATCTCGCATCAAAAAAACTTTTAAGACCGACATAGCGTTTTTTATCTGGTTCATTTCTTTGAACCTTCCAATAAGAGAGAAGTGTTTGCTGAGTTAAAGTGATGAAAAGTGGCTTCTTTATGCCGGTGTTTGCTGTGCAATCGTAGATGCTGAATATGGGAATGCTTTTCGTGTATGTGCAGGCATGGGGGACCCCTTGAGTAGCATGACGCCGTGCCAAACATTCATCAAGACTGGGTTATTGCTCTACATCAAGGGCCTCTTAAGCAATTTTAATTGCATGATGTAGATGTTTTGGAACATGGGTGGATTTGAGTTCTCCTCACTTTGAAGCTCCACCAATTAGTAAGATTTTGTGCAATCAGTGTCAGAAGAGTATAAAAAGGTGGTGCATAAGATGTCCACAACATACTTATGGATTGTGCCCTAGTTGCTATTTATTCACGAATTTGGAATTTATATCTAAAGTACCTGCCAGTAGCCAACAAATAAGTGCAACATTAGGGTGTCTGATTAAGATAA